CTGCTTCAGCCTGCTCCCTTTTCAATTTAAGAAGTTAACAACCTTGGTGACATAGACTGGAAAGAATCAAGAGGTCTGCTGATATAACATTTTTTTAAGATACTGGTATTTTTTTTTTCTTTGAAGAAAGTTGTATGTACAAAAGACAATTTTTTTAACATGACAGGATAGGTGAATAAAATCTTTATGAACAGAAATTGAAAGCTGGGTTGCTAAGTCTGTATTTAGTTAGCTATATAAGCTGACCTGATTTATAAATATTCCAAGCATTCCTATCATCAAACGCCATTTGGTTTTTAAGGGTGTCCAGCATAGTTGAAAATAAGGCCACTAATTTTAGAGCCTAAATAGAATTCAAATAACATTAGGATCCAAGAAACATTAGGATCCTTTTTTGCAAATGGCAGAATCGTGCTCAGAAGTTCTCTGGTTCCACTAGCTTTGCTGGGAAAAATTATCTGTAAGTACAGATAAACTAGGTTAGACCAGATGTCCATTTATCCCACAGTCACTACTAGTACTAAGAGTTTAAGGAAAAACTAGGAGTGTGGTATACACCAAAGGACACTTCTTCATCATACTCTTCTAGATCCCAGCAACATGTAATATGCCTAGAAAAGTTATTTATACATAGTACTTGAATAAGAACATTTCCTTGTGCTAGGACTTACTACAAAACTAGTAGATTAACACAATAATTTAAACAGAAAAAGCAGCCATGCTATTTTATTTAAACAATGTGCGCTGGAAACAAAAATACATTAAAAAACATTGCTTCAAAAGGCAAATTTGAACTGAATGCAAAGGCTTACAGTTTTCAGAGGTGTAAAATAAACAGCAGCACATTTGCTCTGAAGAAGTAGAAAGCTGCTAAGCAGTTTCTAACACCTCAGAAACACAAGAGATTGGTATGACTGTGAAAAAGCTAAAGCAGTTAAACACTGCAAGAGGAGTCAAAGTCTCAAGTGTAGGCTCAGGTGGCACCAGAAGTTAGTTTCCATATTTGAAATAAAGTTTTTCCTCAGGGAATGAAAAAGAACAAGGAATTCAGAATCTTCAGGCTCTGAAAAAATGAAAGGAAGTTGTAGGTCAGTGAGAAGAGACATCAGAACACAAGGTTTTCAAACAGGATCAAGAAAGCTAGATTGGGAGTGAACTGACTGGAGCAGCCCAAACAACCAGTGAATACACAGACCCTACTTTTCATCTGAAATCCTTCATTCAGCTCTGTTCATGTGAGTAACCGCTGGCCCATATGAGAGCATCTGCAACTGTGAAATACCTCAGATATTTAAGTGCCAAGGGGGTCGACAACTCCTCAGGAAGTACCATATCATCAACAGCATCAAAACATAGTGCTGCTTTTAATCTCCTGATTTTTACCTTAGTTCTCTGAGTGCATGAATGATATGCACCTTTCAGTGTAGTGTGTGGTCAGGGATCTCTTCCATGAACAGCCTAATCAGAAGCTCTTGGGCCTTGTAGTCTGACACACTTTCCTGGCTCCTTTTACTCCTTCACTCTCTTCTGCTAGTGAAAGAACTTAAAATTTGATAACTAACTGCAGTTACATGTTCATGAGATTCTCAACATTCTAAAGAAAGCATTGAATCTCAGGCTTTCAAGCTATTTAAATTTGGCCCACAATTCTTTACGAATTTAATTTCTGTACAGTTCATCACCAACAAAGATGTGTAGGCCACGTCACTTTTTTCCTATCATGAATTTAGGAGAGGCTATACAGAATCACTTAAACTAGAACAGTACAAAAACTATAGTGTGCAAAACTAAATCCTCCATCTTTAAAGATCTGTAGGAAGCAAGAGGAAATTATTGCAATTATTATATATTTCCATAGAGAAGTCCATAGCCAATTAAAAACACAGGAAAATATGAACAGAAAACGCAATGAATATGCTATCAACTACAGTTTTGCTTATAATGCATCTGTCAGACTTCAAGAGAAATCCAGCTGACCCACAGTAGCTTCCACTGAAACAGACAGTTCAAAACATATAATTAGATAATTCTGTGCAAGAACTATCATCATTTCATTCCAATCTAAAATGTTGGGGAAACATCCCTCCTAAATAAGAAGCATTTTGAGATTTGAAAAGCATAGTAAGTATAATCAACAGAGGAACAAAGGAAAGTACCAAATGTTGTAAAGCCCTAATACTTCAGATAATGACTAAAATTCATGTCTGTTTCCTTCTCTGCTAGACAGGAGTCCAATTAGAGTTCTCAAAACAACAGCTTCTATGTGCTGGCATGCTGCATTATGTTTGTACTGCTACAGACAGACTAGAAGATAAAAAAATACATACTACAGCAACCTTTTTAACCCAAAGTAATTGCTAACTTTTTTTTTTCCATTGTGTGGGTTTTGATGTCATTTTGCACACAGCTTATTGTTAGCTTAAGCAATTTATGCAATTATCAATGCATGCACAGGAATTAACCATTTAAGTAGCTTGCTACATACATACAAGCCTCTATTGGAAAAATCACATAAAACAACAAATGAGCTATTATGAGTCACTTACTAATCTCCTGTCCAAATACAACTTGACATTTAAACATCTTAAATTGGTTCTTAAAATAGCTAAATTTTGAAAAATTGGAATGTGCTTGGCTTGATGCACTGTTAAATGACAGGCATCAGGAAGTATGCACACCCAATTTTTCATGCTTATTTTCAAAGATATGGATTGCTTGGAACTGAGAGTGGTGAGATGAAGCATAGGGGAATAAAAGCACAGGTTTTTCTCATCTCCTTCACAAAGAAAACCCAATTACAGTATTCTGAACATGCAGTCTGGACTCAGATAATGACAGATTCAAAAACTAAATTTTGAAGACTTCTCCTACTGTGTGCTGTAATTTTGGCCCAGACATCATTATCTGCTTTCTCTTTGACTTTGAGCTATTTGTGTGTATTGCCCTTCACAGCTCCCCAGATCCCTGCTCATATGTCACAGCTAAGTCAAATGGCTGGTTTATTCCTCAGTTATGGCAAGGACCTGTGCCAGCCTTTTAGTTCCACGCCTTTGAAGTCACAGAAGATTGCTGAGCAGCAGCAATTTTTGTATGACTTCAAGAATATGGCAGGCAGTACCACACCTCACTCCAAATCAAACCACCAGGCAAAGAACTGGAGAATTTGTGATAGGTGTACAAAACAACTCGATGTTTTCACTGAGTGAAGAGCTACCACTGAAAACTCAGTAACCCCCAAAAAGTATCTAGAAAGCAAAGAGCCTTATATGAGAGAGGAGAGTGACTGAATGCTAAAGTTTTAAGTTTCCTAGATCTTAATGAAATTAAAAACCGAGTAAACTTCTACTAAAAACTATATAATATTGTTATTATATATTATATAATATATATTATATATTAATGGAATTTTCTACTTTTCTACTTTTAAGCCAAAAGAGGATTGCAAGAGGAAAGCTGTAGGAAAAAAAATCTATAGCTTGAAACGACCAGTCAAATCTGGCAAATCTACTAAAGGTTATAGGACTGGTGCCACACCAGGAATTTGGCAACCTGGACCATGGGACTTGCTTTGCAAAACCTGGACTGCTGATCAGGTCCATCTGTCATGGAAGGGTAAGAAAGAGCATCTTCAGTCCTAGGCTTGTCAGGCTGGTGAAGAGAGCTTCACACTAAAGTTGCTGGGGAAGGGGAACCTCAATCCACCCTGCTCGTGTGATGCCCAGAGCCTGGAGAGAAGCCACAGGTCAGTACAAGGGTGCCTGAAGGGCAGCAGAGAGGAGTTGCAGCCAGTAAGTCAGTTTCCTCAAGGGCCCACCTTAAAAGCCACTATACTAATGCATGCAGCATGAGGAACCAACATGGCCTGCAGGGCCACGATCTCACTGGCATCAGAGAAGTTCCCACTGATTGGAAAAAAATAAACACAAACCCCTTTTTAGAAAGGTACAGAAGGATGATCTGGGGAACTACAGGCCAGTCAGTCTTTCCTCAAGGTCCTACAAAAGCATGGAGCAGATCCTTTTGGAAACTATGCAAAGGCACATCAAAGATAAAGAGGTGATTGGTGACAGCCAGCATGGCTGCACTAATGATAAATCATGCCTGAGAAGTTTGGTGGCCTTCTAAGATGGAGCTACAGCAGTGGTGGACAAGGGAAAATTAACTGATGTCATCTACTTGAATGCAAAGTATTGGGTACTGTCCTGCACAACACCTTTGTCTCTAAACTGGAGAGACATGGATTTTATGGAAGGACCGCTCAGTGGATATGGAATTGGTTAGACAGCCACACTCAGAAGGGTTGCGGTGAATGGCTCACTGTCCAAGTGGAGAGCAGTGATGAGTGGTGTTCTCAGGGGCCAGTAATGGGACTGGCACTGTTCAATAGATTTTTAAGCGACACAGACTGTGGGATCAAATGCACACAGCCAGTTTGCTGATAACACCAATCTGAGTCATATAGTCAAATTGCTGGAGGGAACAGATGCTGTTCAGAGAACTGGCTTGAGAGTCTTCACAATTCTATGAAACTTGATAATAAAATCCTTACTATTTACCTTCAGCTTCTGAAGGTATGTATTTGACCAGAAACTCATACACTGGAAATGCTTATGAAGAAACTCTAGATCTGGATTTTAACATACTCCTATTCTATCAAAATGTAGGGCTAAAATCAATGCCAAAAGAAAACAAGACAATGACATCAAGTATTTAGATCAACAGAACCAACAAAAGAACTTCAGTTTGACAAACGTAAAAATTTGGACCCACACTTCTAATAAGCTTATATTTTTCTTCCCTGAGCCCTGTTAAAGTTAAAATTAAACGTCACAAAGGATGCAAACAAACCTACTTATATGAAGTCAGAACTAGAGTTTTAAGTTTGGTTTAAGAAAAAATAGCACAACAACTTTGTATTGACAGCAACCTGAAACTGTTAACTAGCTGCTAAGAAGGAGTCTAAAAAATATAGCAGATTGGATACAAAGAAATTTCTTTACCTAGCCATTCCCAGGCTGGAAAAGTTGGAAGGAACTATCAGAACATCAAGCCTGGAAAAGGGATGGGTACCCAGTGTGGCATAAGCAGCTGAGAGGCACTGAGGAATTAGCTGAAGCAAATATTCTTCACAGGTTTCCATAAGGCACCAGGGAGCAAAGACTCTGTAAGGAATTACTGCCTGCAACCTGGCAGCAGGATTTTGGAAACGGCAGGGATATTCCACATGACCACAGATTTCTTCATGCCATCTGACAATACGAAACAAAACAAAACAAAAGGAAACAATACTTAATTGTGATATCAGAAATGTGAACAACTGACTATGCTAAGACAAGGATATTCTCTAGATATTAGAATGACAGAATTAATTTCCATAGAACCAGTTAATTTGCATTCTCACCCTGTTCACACATGTGCAGCACTTTGAAACACTCACTACTACATCTGAGTAGAACTCATAATTAAAAAGAGACTAGTCACACCTTGTTTTTATAACAGATATGCATAAAAATAATAAGTGCTCAAAGTATATATAAAGAGAACTAATAAGAATACAAATACATTTACTCAGAAAGTTCTTATTCAAACTTGGCTCTGAAAATTAAATTACATATACATATTAGCATAACATTTACACAAGTATTTTAGGTGCAATTTCAATGTAAATTCCAGAAGGGATTTTTTTTCTGTTGTTACTAAGACTTTCCAGAATTTCAAGTGATTTATTATTATTATTATTATTATTATTATTATTATTATTACTACTATTATTGCTATTATTGCTATTATTGCTATTATTATTATCTTAAAAACCTGCTAGATGCCAAGTCAGGCTTATCATGCTGGACATTCAATAATACCACATAAGACAAACCTTATTTTATAGTACTTTTACAGGATATTTAGAGCTTTAGCTGGAAAAAAATGGAGGAGTAGATCAAATCCTTCCTAAACACTGAGTCATATACATTCACAATAAGTTATCTGCCCAAATAGATTCTTATCTAAACAGAAATCAGCTACATGTTTTCACTGGTTAGCCTATGCTCTCTACAGTGCACAGCCTCTCCTTGGTTTGAAACTTCAGTTTAAATAATCTGGTTCTACTATGCCTCAACAGGCAAAGCACCTAGCATTGCCCAAAGCACTTATGCTTGGAAGATCATGCTGACACAGAAAACAAAACGATGACATGTAGAAAAGGATGAGATTGTGTTGAAGTATTAACACTTTAGCACCTTACACAAGTCCTTCTGTCAAAGAAGTGGACTCTTAAGTACTTTCATTGACTACATATGCAAAGAAACCACATACGTCGCTACACAACTTTTTTTCTAAGGGTAGTTTAATCTAGTATATTTCTGCTCTAAAACAATGTCACTTCCTATTTTATTACCAGAATTGAGATTAGGCAGGAACAGGAAAGCTAGCACCATATCTCTTATAAAAATTGCCAATTTCTTAATGACCACAAGGAGATAAAAAGTTATAAACATCATAGCTCCATTTAACATTTACTTTGATACAGCCTCATGAAGTCAAACTCACTGGCACTTGGATACAAATTACATTACACATTTCAACAGCTTCTTTAAGAATTCCTTTCTTTTCCTGCTGCCCTAAAGTTTATTTCCACTATCTTATCTGAGATATATGCTTAGCATTTGCTTGTCTATACATTTCACAGCCTTCCTAGAAGTGTCTGCTATTGTGAATAATGCTGGTTTGGTTACCTGGTCTCACTGACTAAAGTAAGCAACAACCTCTGCTGTGCTAACTCCCAGCTGAAGATTAACAGGAAATAACTGTAAGAGCACATTTTTAAGGACGCATATTTTTATGTCCTGATTAACTGCAAAACTACCTAGTACACTTAGGGTCTCCTCTTTGTCTGTGTACAACAGACACCACATTTGCAGAGGATTTTTGTATTTTTTTGTCATTTTTTTTCCCAAGACACATTAGTTCTGTTTCTTCCACTGACACTAACTGCTGCAGGTAAATCAAACTGTGTCAATTAACTCATCCAATAACCATCACACAGATAAACTCATAACTATGACCATCACACTGATTAAAACTTCCACTAATTTTTGCTACAAAAAATTTACAAAAATATTCCTCTCTTTTCAGAAATTTTACAAAAAACCCAGAAACTTTCATTTGTTCTATCAATACTGAGCCAGAATAATCTTTTGCACCAAAATCAATGAATTCCTATTGTCAAATGTGCTGTACTTTTGAGAGGAATACATCCACAGCTTATTTTTGCAGATGCAGTCATACTATAAACAAATAAGTGGCAAAGAAATAAACACAAAGCAATTTGTAGAAGCTCGTCAAACTTATAAATTATTTTAAAATTAGAAAGACATTTCTTACTGATCCTACATAAAGTATGTAAATTCCTATTCTCAAGATTAATTTAACCAAAATCAGCCAAACTGCAAGCCATTAGAATAATTTCATTTTAAATTCCAACAAAAAAATCCATATGAAGTCCTCAAGTTCCAAAGTCTCAGTAGTTTACTGTCTTAATGCTAACAAAGTGTTATTCAAAACAGCTGTCTAAAAGACAAGTCTTTTTTCAGTAAAATTTTGAACTGAGTAACAGAAAAATGTTACATAAATACTTATAACCCAAATCACCTTCTGTGAACCCAAATCACAATAAATTAACACTTCCTGCTGATGTGGACGTTGTTTGCCTGGACTTCCGCAAAAGCCAAACTGGCCACAGTTTCCCACAGCCCTCTGGACAAACTGGCCACATACAAACTGGATAGGTGGTCTGCAAGATGGGTACAAAACTGACACACAGACAACACTCAGAGAGTGGTGATCAGTGGCTTTCACTAAGGCTGGCAGCCTGTCACAAGTGGAGCTCCCCAAGAAATTGTGTTGGGCTGCACACTGCTCAACATTTTCGCAAACATTCTGGTTGATGGGTTGGAAGGCACCGTCACCAGGTTAGCTGTTGAGGTGGACACATCAGAAGGGAACACCATTTCAGAGACCTGGACAGGCTGAAAGGCAGGGCTGCAAGAGCAGTGCGAAGTGCAGCAGAGACAAGTGCACAGCCCTGCTCCTGGGGTGACATCCCCAAAGGGCCCAGCACAGGCTGTGACCTGTGTGTCTGGGGACAGCCTTGCTGAAAGGGACACAGAAGTTCAGGGGACAATGGCTTGAACCAAGTAACTGGTGTGACACTGCAGCTATGAAGGCAAATCAGATCCTGGGCTGCAGCTGCAGGGACATTGCTGGCAGAGGGACAGAGGGATCACCACGCTCTGAACAGAGCTTGTCCAACAGCACCTGAGGCATTGCATCTCTTCCTGGTCCTCACAATTCAAGGAAGACACAAAAACGAACAAGTGGCTGCAGAACCATCCCTGTCAGGAAAGACAGAAGGAGCTAGGCCTTTTCAGTGAAGGGGAGAGAGGACCTCATGACAGTATTTCAGTACCTGAAGGGCCATCTACAAAGGGCACAGAGTCACTCCCTTTACAAGGAGCCACATGGCCAAGACAAGGGCCAGTGGGTGCTAGATATCTTCATCTAAGCTCCTTCCCATGAAAGAATAGACTAGATGAACTTCCAAGGTCCATTATAACCTGGCTTGTTCTGTGATGCTATGATATGAATTTGAAAAGCTGAGAGTAATATATGAGGAAATCAAATCCCATGTCTGAGACTTCTGCTAACTAAGGTGAATACATGTGAAAACAAATGGTATTTTTCCAGAAACTTGCTTTCTATCTTCAAATCTTATCTTCAGGCATAAATTTCTTTGCTTATCCATCACTCTGTAATAATTCAAACTCAGTGAATTTTGATTAGACTGGGAGGAGGAAAAGAAGTACTCAAAATAATCACATTTATACTAGTTTGGTCAAAAAGAACTAAGAATCATTGGTCCAACCCTATTTTATGGAACCACTGCACTAGATCTTTCAGGAACCTGGTCATTACACCATTACATCAACCCAGGCAAAGCATTGCACAGGCCAGCTCTAACTGCAATGAGACTGAAGCAAAACAAAAAATTGTTTTTGCAATATTGTAGCAGGAGTCATTAGGTATCCAGAATGGACTGATTCAAGTATTTTAAGAAACAAGACAGCATCTGGCATTGTTGCAGCAGGGTGTTAAGGATATAGGATACAAATTTAGTGGACAGTGGAATTTACAAACCCTGTTGCCCATTAAGCAGATTGTTTTCACATAAAAAGAACCACTCCCATGAAATAATGCCTTTGGAATTATTTTCCTGTCAAGATTTTTCCGTTCAGATTAAACAAGTTCTATTTTGATCCCTGTGCTAATATGAATCATTTTCACATTCCCCAGAGTAAATGGAAATGCCACCCATACATATAATTTTTCAATAATATTCTAAACACCAACCTGAAATCAGTTTGTGATGATGGCAAGAAAAACTCAGTGTTTGTTTCAGCAGCTGTTTGTTTGAAGGACTGCTGTTTAACTTCCTGCCAGCACCCCACAGCAATAGTGAAGGTGGATGCTGGCATCGGCATAGACACGTAGTAGTACCAGCTCAACATACCTGTAAACAAAAGAATGTTTGTACAGACTCATGAGTCTTACAGCACATGTTAGGTACTTGACATTTTCATGTACTTGAGATTTTGGGCCAAACCTCCCACCTTACATCCTGGTATTTTGTGGAGGAAATAAAAATAATTGCACTGAGACATATAAGAACAGTTGTATATAACCGCTGTTATTCTGTGGATTCTGCGCTCTGTTTGCTTATACATGCAACTTTGCTCTAACTGCTGCTGTCTTTAACTGTAAATAAATCATCCATAAGTGGGATGTTACTAATGCAACTTAAAATAATTGTACTGTTATTGCCTAAGAATTACATCAGACATGAAATCTAGTCATACCTTTAAATACATACACACCACAATATTAAAATTAAACTCTTTCAACCTAGTATCTACCATCTTATGTTGTCTTGTTTGTATTATCTCACACAACCCAAAACCTTTCCTTTGTGTTCTGGGTAGTATCAAACTGATAGGCAAATTTTAACAAATAACACTAACACTTGTGAATTGGACCCAGCTATTTGAGGTCCATAATATGTCAACCAGGCAGCAAAAAATCTAAGTTTAGACTCAGATGAGACATTACCTAAGTCAGCAATTTGGTCATGTTACCCCATGAAGGTTCTAAAACAAGACAAGAATCTATTAGAAAGTAAAAATACGCTAGGTTTTATCATAATAGGAACACAATGTGGGGAGACAAGGAGCATGATATAGGATTTGTATGTACAAACACATTTTTATAAGGTGGAGGATGTTTTAGAACAGCATACTTTTCATTAATACAAATGTTGCCTAAATTTTCTGTTTGTCCCTTTAAAAAGATACAGTTTAAGAATCACATGCATGTATTCATTTATGATCATAATACAGTTACTACACCATACTAATAGATTAATTCTCTTGAAAAGAGCCTAGCTTGAGTTACAGTCTGATGAATCATGTGCAAATGTCTGTAGCTAGGGCAACGGTGGAAACACACAAACTTCAGTTTTTTTGAAAGAACCTCAGTACTTGATCTTTTGCAAAAGTATTCTGACTAGGGCTATGAAACACTACCAAAAGGGAAGAAAAAATAAAAAAACACAACTAAGTGGAGACCACAAGGCACAGAGGAAAGGAAATAGACAATTGCTGCAAAGCATCACTTGCGTTCCTACCTTAATGACCAAAAAAGGTCCAAAGGAAGGACAAAGAAGAAAATCTTAATGTTTAGCCTCAACAAGTTTTCCACCTTCTATTTAGTATAACAACACAACAGCATTTGTGAAGTCTGAGAGGCAGATGAAGTCTTTGCCTCTTATATGCACTAGAAAGCACTTAAACTCCTTCATCCCAGTTCCACTTTAGGCAACATTCACCATCAAAAGCCTTTTGTCAATATTGTCAGGTGAACATATATCACTCTTATAATTTTCCTAACCTCCTGTCAGTATGTGAGCAGAATGGATTTATTTGCTCCAAGTATATTAAGGAGGATAACTTTGCCAAATTTCACTCCATGCTTTTTTTCCTTTTTCATTACTATTAACTTCACAAAGCTTCAAATAAGCCCAGAAAAGCAAATGCCATCTTGAGAGATAAAGGTTATCCAGAGCAACAATAGTATATTACTTCAGAATACCAAATTCCTGATGTACAGACTTTCATTGATAGACACTGTGCTAGAGGCCCAAGACTGCACACACTGTAGTTAGTAACAACTTTGCCATTATCTTGCATACACACAGGAAAAGGCTCAGAGGTTCTGCACTTGGTGTTGCATCTAAATGCTATAAAGGATTACAAAATGCTCCATGTAGTTATGTAAAAAGCGAAAGTTATACAAAAGTTAATTGTAAAATCTTAAGAATTAAATAACGCCAAAGAAAATTCTAATTGAAAAATTGTCATATATCTTCAACTATGTTATGAAAAAAGCACGGAAGGCAAAAAGCAGTTACAGAAAACCGTTCCAAATGGCATGGGATATAAAGGAGAAAACTCTCACAACTCTGAGATTGTCTAAAAGGAAAGGGTGTTGGCCTGTACTATGCAAACAGAGATCAGAGAGGGTTACAGTGAGAAACAAGTTTAGTAAGACAGGCTAGAGCAAGCAAGAGGGTTTTTTTCTAAAGAGCACTCCACAAACAGCTTGAACAGAATATCTAAAAGGAATGGCAATCAGATTAGCAGTCCAGGGAGAAGAACAGCATGTACTGCATTCAGAAATTTATACAAATTAGCAATGAACTCATGCCATTTAGAGCTGACTCAGTGCAGAAAGAGTGAAGGTACCAAAGCCCCCTTTACTTTGCAAGGATTTTAGAAATCATGTGAGCTATGGATTCTCCCAAAGCAAGATCCAAGTTTTATAATGTCTCTGCATATCTACCCAGGTCTCAGTCCATTTCCTGCAGTGCTTTTTGATACCTTCTGCATTCATACTCAAGAACTATGTAGAACACCTATATATTTATCCTACAGTTGTTGACTGAAATCACATGCATGGGCACGACAAGTGAGTTCTCTCTACAGAACTACAGAATCCTTCAGACTGGAAAATAGTGCATTTGCTGATCAGTGACTGAAAAGGTCTTTTTACTGGTGGAAGTTATCTCTGGAGAGAAATATGAAGCAGCTGTTTCAAAGACATCTTAACTAACTCACTGACCTTGTGTCTACTCTCACAACTGGTAGGATTGTCTTCCAGCCTGACCTCTCCCATAACTTCACTTCCTTCCTTACATGGTCTTTATGTCAGTGGGCTTTGTTTTGTTTTCCTTCATCTGTATCCTATGATGTATCCTAGCACGTAGATTGGGATCACAAGCTCCACGCACCCCCTTTTTGCTGCTCACCCTGTCCTCTGGCTGCACCGTGCTTTTCAGTGTCAGCCTTGGAGACAGCTCCATCTCTAGGATAACAGAAAACAGTGCAGCTGAAACAGGGATGTGGCCTTCCTTAACAAACACAGCATTTTGTACCATAAAAACATCTTCAGACTAAGCAAGGACACACTGGGAAAAACAAGAGTTTGGGCTGGGGTTAGTCCATGGGAAAAATAAAGTAGATCATCCTAGTCCTTCTACTTGAAATTCTTTAAAAATCGTGATTCCTATACATAATTACTTTAGGCAATTATAATATTTTCAAAGCATTTTGTTATTTTCTCCACCCATAATTCTGAAAATATTTTTTCTTCAGTTCTGCAAAGAAAATATATTGTGTCATAACGGCACTAACCATGCAGCAACAATCACCTATTCTATGAGTTGAAGGTGAAAAACTTTCCATGCAAATGTTTAACAGGAGAAGGAAATCTTAATCTATTTATAATTGTGCAGAAGAACAATTTAAAGATCGTTTATTTCTCCTACTTGAAATAATAATGATGAATGATGTAATTACTTCCTAGAATCTTTAATGCATTCAGCTATCTTTGAGATCATTAAAATCATTTGAGTCCTGCAGAGTTCATTATAACTGAAAAAAAAAAATGCCAAAGCTATATCTGTTAATTCCAGATGCAAGAACATTATGAACATTTTTACTTAGCAGCATATTTTTTGTCAAATAGTTTGCACTAACACAAATACAGATGATGTTTACTATTTACTAAAACCCACAAAGTTCAACTACCTCTATGGAAAAGGAGAGAGAGATAGCCCTGCACAGCAATAGATACACGAGGTAAGAGCTAGCGCTGTTATATAAACTTGCAGTTAAATAACTAGTTATGTAGAAACTACTCCTCCGCTGGAGCACCAGGATTAGGAGCCCTCCATCTTTCTGAAATGCTTTGTAAATTGTAGAAATGTTTTGATCTCATCTGAAAACCAGAATTCCCACAGAGGTCTCTCACATTCATGCCAGAGCATTAGTTCAGCACAGGTTCAGAGGGATGAGTACCACATGACAAGCTCTCAACTACCCTGCTGTAGTCCCTGACACATGCTGGAGATCAATCAACAAACACAAGTACTGCACTCTTTTGTTTTGCCTTGTGGAAAGCGAGGAGCACAAGCAAAGGCAACTGTTGCTGCTGCTAAATACATCACAGGAGCAGTGGCTCTTCTAGCACTGCATTTTTTCTCAGTACCAGCATACTCCTCACTTAGAATGCAGATGTCAAAACAAGATCAAGGATTACATGGTAGTAGAATAAGCACAGGATAAACAAGCCAGTCTATTTCACACTTAATGGCTGAATATCTACTTCTTGAATATGAATTGAACAAACAGAAGGTACTTGTGACTGACTGTATTTGCAGCTTCTATGTGTTACAGTAATGTGCTGAAGGAAAAGAAAACAAGTGTAGAAAAGTAAGTCTAATGTTTAAATGGCTCACATTACACACACATGTAGTGATCCATGTCAAGCTTTCTCCAAAAGGAAATTATTAATTGAGTTTTTCTGATCAACTTCTCTTCTCTAAACGTTCCATGGAGAATGCAATGTACTTTAAGCACTTTTGATCACACTCAAATGTGCACACTTCTACTTGTGTAAGCATTCCATCACTATTCTCAAACAAACATGGCCTCCCTCTATCTCTAAAGATAAGATCAAACACAGTTTTGTAGGAGGCAGAATGCAAAAATGGCACATATGGGAGGAAATACAGACTCTTGTCAAGACCTGCAAATACAAGTGGTAAATGAGGAATCTCCATATGAGAGTACACCTAGCCCAGCTATGCACTGGATTACTGCATCCGTACATGTAGAGATGTGTGCCTGTAAAGCAGAATGCAGCTCTCTAAAAACTTGAAGGAATCAACTTTGCTTGCTGTTCACTTACTCTCTGCCTGCATACTGGTTTTAAATACGACTTTTAAAGGGAAAAATTATTCCGCTAACTTGTAATTCTATTCAGAATAAATTTATTCACAACCATTTACCAAAATGCTAGTTCTTTCCAATAAATTGCATTTTTATAAGATTTTATTATTCTGTCAGTTATGTATAATTTTATAAATATGCAGCACAGCAATAGCATATTGTATGTAAACAACTTGGCAAACTTATTTCAGTTGAAGGCCCTGAAAGGCCTTCTGGTGTCTCTAAAGACAAAATTTTAAGTTGGATACATTTCATGTACCTTCCAGAATTGCCAAACAACCACATCTATGTGCACAGGTTATTTAAAACAACAGAACATTTCAAACTTTTTAAAAGTCCTATTAATTAAACTCATGAATTTGTATTCCTAAATGCTTTAAGAATTTATTCAAGGCTTTACATTAGCACTTACACAATATTCCTCAGAATATTGCTCCTTTCCCTTTTTGCAGCTGTATTAGTTTTGCAAATTTTTACAATTCCAAACAGCTTGCTGGTTTTTCATTTCCTGCTGTATGTAAGCAAGACAATGAGGGTCTCTCATTTAACTAGTTAAACACTGATGGAAAAGCTGTTATCCTAGCAAGTCAAGAATGTTCTTGCTTTCTCAATGCTGAGACAGGAACATATTATTCTCCAAGGGAGCTGAGCAGCTAATCATGGCAGTTTTCCATATTTCAGCAGTTGAAACAAACCTCAGAGGTCTCATATACAGCCAAATATAACCAGACAATTCTGTGAAAATAAACTCACTGATGATTCTCAAATCAAGGAGACTTTCTCTTTTTTTTCCGCTCAAGAATAAACCTGCCTATTTAAAGGGGAAAAGAAGATAATTTCCCCAGAAAAGCTTCATTCTAACCTTTTCTTATATGCTACTTATCATCAGACTACTCACACTAGAAAACACTGACCCAGTTTTACAGAATATCTCAAAACTCATGAGAACAAGACATACTTCATTATATAAACATACAAGACTTAAAAACTTCCTTCTCCATGAAAGAAGTTTAGATAATAAAGTATAATCAACACAGAAGAAATGCTTATTTGCTTAATGTTGAAAAAGGTATGTTTTATCAATGCAAAAACCCCCACAGAGATCAGATTTCAGGGCACTGAACCGATATTCTTCAGCTATTCCATGTATTCCAGGCACCAGTTACAACACAATGGCTGCTTCTGATCCCATGCTGAACTATGCTCGGACTGGAGAACTAAAACTGAAAGATAATTATCTACCAAGGCCTGAAGTTGTTGAGAGGTACTTCATAAGGTACTCCCTCTACAAAAATCAAGTACACCGTGATTAAAATAAAGCAAATTTATGAAAAGTTAAATCTAGGTTTGGAAACACAGGTGGGGGGGAAAGGTAAGCAGCACAGTGAAATGCAGAAGTGTAGATATTTTGAATACTTATGAAGTTATGCTGAGGCCTTGAGAAGGTAACTTTTCCACAGAATGACACGGAGATTATAGAGAGACATTAAAGTGTTTTTAAGGGTAGGAAATTCATTCTTTAACAAATCATGTACTTACTAAGCTTGATTTCTAATTATAAAAGCATTGAAAATAATTTGCCCTAAAAAATGTATTTCACCTTCTTGAAGCTGGACTGGTTCTGCTGAGTTTTCACCACTCATTAACACAACAAATCCTGAAGCTGCTCGGACTGAGGCTTGCCATGTTGACAAGGCAATAGGTGGTTCTTGGCATGGGAAGAGGGCTCTGTTGTTTATTGGTGATCCCATTGTATAAACACATGGCCTAAATGGAAGGAAAAGAGATTGGAGTTAAATTACAATAAGACTGAATTAAGTTCTATATAAAAAATCAAAGATGCTGTTGTACAGAGGTGGTTTCTTTCTTTAGCTTCAGCTCTTCAGGTTTCAAAACCCATATGACATGAACCAATCAAAGTACAATCTAAGTCATTTAAGAAAAGAAAAGCAAGATTACCACAATACCTTCAAACTAGAAAAGACTAACTCCAGTCTTTCCCTCTCCTGCTTTTGCATTGAGTCTTCCAGCCTCATACAACAGCTTCAGTTGAACCCATAAGGTCAAAGAAGGCTTCTGAGTATCTTCTGATGAAGCCATGGCAGGGCTCCCCCAACACTTGTGACACCCCCTTGCTATCATCCCAGTAGTGCTTTCACTACCACGAATCCAGTCTCCTGGATTAACAACCTGGAGGCTCATGCATACTCAGCAGTAGGTCTAGTTTTCAGTCTTCCTTAGTCCAAGCCTCAATAAATCCTGACATTTTTACATTTAATCTTAGAGCACCCTAGCTCACCTGTCTTTGTGAATTTCAACCACAGGGTACATAACAATAATTAATTTCTATCCTATCAGCTCCAGACTCCTTCTTGATTCTTACATTGCAATCTTCCTTGTAGTACCACTGCTTTTGCAGTTACTCTAACCCCCTCCCCAGAAAAACTTCTCAGTCTACCATTCCTTTCCAATTTCAGCTGCAATATTTCATGCCAGTAAATTTCTTATTAGCCACTGAGCTAAAGCTGGGAATATAATAAAGCCTTTCATTAGCTCATTCTAACTTGCTATCACTGGTACATGGACTTAATGATTCTTGGTTTACTTATTTTGTTGCATTTTCCAGTTTTATCTAAATTCCTATTACTTGCATAAATAACACCACATATCTTAAGGGAAAAAAAAGCTATTTTTTCAATTATAAATGATATAAAAAATCCAGAGTCAATAGGTTTCTAAAGTAAAAGAGTGAAAATCTTGAAAGCATCACTTCACTACACTGAACTTTTAAAAACCTATGATATTTAAAGCTAAATATTATGGGAGCAAAATACATTATTTTGTGAATCCTCAAGGCTAAAAATGATCTCATCAGTATCCTTCAGCAATTGAGGTGAAAGCTTATTAAAACACTTTAAAAAGTAGGAGACAAACTGTTAGGGCAAAACTGATTTTACAGTGGCTAAGATCTTAGCATTTTATTTACTCCCCTCCAAACTGCTTTTCCTTTCAAATTATTCCTTCTCTAAAGCCAACTCCAAACTATACAAGAGAGAAAGAACTTGGAAATACTGACAATCATAGATTCAATATATTCTGAAGATATTTTTGCCCTCTTGTCATTGTTATCTGTGCTACTAGATCCAGTGCTGTATTGGCACATTTAAATTACTGTGGCTTAAGTAATGCAGGCGAGCTGATCTTCCAGCAAAACAGGGTTAAGTAGTCCTATTGCTAATGCACACAAGCAGAAAAAGAAAATAATCTAACTTTCCCCATCATGTACCAGAGTGAATAGAGTACGACCAAGACATCAAGCGAAGTTCAGGTAACTGCAGTGGAGAGAAAGACAATTGGTTATTTTTTAATAAAACACAACATACATCTAAATGTCATAGACCACTAATCTGCATGATTTTTAATTAACTTGGTTGGAATTAAGCTCCTAAAACTGAATCTGTAACCAACTCTGATATGCAAAAAATAATTGACTTTTCTCCTGTAAAAACAAGGAGTGCATGGCAGTGAGTTCACAGGAAAAATGAAGAACCTGTTTTTTCACCTTCCAGGAAGACCTGCTTCATCCTAGTAATGTTAGTCAAGAGCTACTGGGCTTATTATTTACCCTAAAACCCATACATGTTGGGAAGGCATGAAAAGGTGACTTCTCATTCATGAAAACTTTATCAAAATACACAGGTTTATAAAAAGCGATCCTAGTAGAGGAAAGGTGGGATTAGTGATTACTGCTACACACATTTTCCCAATGATTTGCCACGCACTGCGAAGGCTTTTTGCCAGGTGCCATTAGTACAATCCACTCTTAGGAGCACTGCAGGAGATCTTCATATTCTGTAGAGGGAAATGCCACAGCGACAGAGAAAACTGGCTGGCAGAACACTGCTAAACTAAATGTTATGATGCTGTGTTGAACACAATTTGTACATTACCGGGAATAGACGCTACCAAGAACATTAATGTCATCTGCTCTCAGAGAGCACTTTTACCCGCAGACCATAAGGTATTTTACAGATAATGTCAATACCATTTCGCAGATGGGGAAAATGAAACTCAGTGAACAGATATGCTTAGTGCTAGCACTCAAACTGCTCCTACAGGCTTAATTCTAAGCCTCCTGGTCCAGTAGCTTTTTTCCCCTTAAGACATTTTAATGCTAAAATACACACAGAAAAAACCTACCACAAAAGCACAAGCAGAAAGTGAGTTAGGTAAGTGGAGAAAGACTGGTCAAGTACATAATCTGTTCTTCAGAACTAGGACTCCTTTCCACTCCTCACCCATTATCATACAATTTTTGTTCAGGTGTACTTATTAACTTCATTATTTCATACCTAAATATACCCAATTATTTCAGTCTACTAAAAAAATAGTAATGAAACAGACATGTTCTAAATTTTTAAAGAACACTATCAGAAGAATAATTATATCAGCCTTTAGTTAGATATTTCTTATACTTCTTTTACAGTGGCAATTTCTTTTTAGAGCGTAGGTGAAAGTGCACTAGTTACTAGTTACTTTAGGATATCCACTGCAGGTGACAATTGTCTTTCTTTGGGGTCAGGGAGCACAATTCCAGCACATAAGAAAACCAGAAATATAATTCTTATTCTGATATGATCAGTTTCTTCATTTGATCCGGAAAAATAACCACCTAACCTAAGAATGTGACAGAATAACAAAGACGAATAATTAGGTTTAGTAGAGATTCCCCACAGCTGAGGATAACCTCTTAGGATTTGGTCTGTGACCTAGCAGGATTTTGGACAATCTTGTTCTATGAAATATTGCCTATGAAGAAAACCAAATTCTTTACTCCCTTCCTGCATATTTCCAGCTGCCAAGAGCACAGAACAATGCTACCTCATAACACTGAAAAGCAAACATCTATTTTCATAACACATTTTTTAATTTGTAGTAAATAACCTTGCAAACCAACCTCAGTAGTACTTTCCAAACACAACTTATTCTCTTCTATTCTCTTTCCCCCTCTGCTTACCTTCTATTAGATTAGTTCCTTAATATGCCTTCTGACCCAGCTGTAAACACACCTGTCATGATACCAGTGATGGAAGTAACCAGCATCCAAGTTTAGAGAGGTCGAAAGTGTCCCGTTCATCAAGTGCATTTTGGTAGGCTTCCTGGTCATTCCTTGATACTTTCCCTCCCTCCCTCTTTCCATTAGCACAACTTTGCCTTTCCATCAACTCTGTGGCTGCCTTTTTGTTTGGCCCCAAAAGCTCAGATAGGAAAATGCTGAAATTCCATGTTCAGTTCGTCTACTAAAAACCAGAAGTGGGTCCTGCTTTGTTAACATGTTTGTATACACATATCTAATCTTGCATAAACTCATCCCACAAAGGTTTTTTTCAACTGGGGTTTATTTTGTGTATTATAATACATTATTCTTTAAAACAAATAAAATGGAAGTATTGATAAAATTGAGCATAGGCTAAATTTCAAAACATTGTACTGTTGTTAAATTACAGGAAACATTGGAAATGTTTACACAATGTGTGGACTTCGTTATTTATTTTTCTTCAGGGTTGGAATCACAGTATAGACTCCTTTGGAAAAGGATTTGACATCTGGTAAAAAAAAAAAAAAAAGGATAACAGACAGATAAATTGGAAAAAATTGAAGAATTGCCCTATGGCAATATGAGATTTACCACTATGTTTATGGGCTCATCGCATATAGAATTTGATTTTAAAAAGATACCAAGAAATATTCTAATGACGGTGCCATGAAAACTTATTTTCTGACAGACATTAATTTTTGGAATACCCTACACAGGCCTGAGAATAAATCAGTTTATACTATTTTATACCATCAAACTGCTGGATGCATGTCAGGCCTGCTTTTTCTGCTCCATTATTGATCCATAAAATTCCATCCATTTGTGTACAGCTGCCATGATATCTCACTAAAGTAAAAACAAGGCTTTGCAGTGAAAGGATTATAAAGAGTCAAAACTGTTCATGATTTAGATGTCTAAAATTAATATTCAAATACTCAAAACACACAGAGGAGGATTCCTGTACCAGCTGAGCGTTGCTAACATTAGCTAGTAGGGCAGCTAGACACAGACACACGATCATGGGCAATTGCTCTACATTCACATGCAGTAAAAATCCAGAATTTTTGGATATAAGAGGACTATATCAAGTTAAATTTCCTAAACTCATACCAGAAATAACTCCTTGGGGAGTGAGGAAAGGGAGGGAAAGAAATAACAAACACAATTGAGACATTTCTGCGTTTGATGGTACTTACAGTTTAGTAGCAGAACTCCTTAACCACCACAAATACAGTCAAAAGGCCTCATTTTCCTAGCAACATAGATGCTAGTGAAAAGAATTCATTTACATGAATATAACTGAAATAAAAGATTATCATATATCTCTGGACTGAGAAAGAAAAATATTAATTTAGGTCAAATTTCTTCCTTATCTTCCAACTTTGTTCCTGCTTTTCAGACATCGTAAAGAAATAACAGCCATTAAAATCCACCTTTCAACATTGCAAAAAAACAATTAGAGATGTAGAAGTCAAGAGCAGATTGTAGTTTCCTTTTTATAAAAGACTTATATTGAAGATTTCAGTACAATACCATGTCCTTTTCACTAACACTAGATATAATGCCAATTCTCCTTTCAGTTTGCAGTTCATTTGCTATCATCAATGTTCTTAACATTATAGATGGAGGAGATTTTGAAAGTTGATTATGAGAGACTAAACAGGAAAAGATTGTATTTCTAAGCTGATTATGATATTGATAAAGGACTAAATATAAAGTAATTCTATTAAATGTTATGTATATTGAACTTTATGCTGTGTAAGCCAGGAAGGAAAAAGAGCACAAAGTAACCTGTCATTTATAGCTTTTCTTTCCCTAAATGATAATTCCTCATTCACTCCATACACTTATTGAAATACACACAAGTTACTTACTCTCACTAAGAGCAAACACAATCACAAAGACAGGCCTGAGATCTTCAAGTCCATTAGGGTTTCATGAGCAGAGACTGTCTGCTCTCCTACAGGACAGCAAAAGCATTCAAACCAAGGATGAAATGAAAACTATAAACTATGGAAGAGTGTACTCATCATCGTTGCTCAGCAATTATAAGATTCTCCATTCTTGCACCTTTTTAAAATTACTGCACACAAGGCTTTTAGTAAACAGTTACATACCTGCCACTCTGGTCTGTAGTCCATGTAACAGATCTTCCCTCTGGTTTGGTTTTGTACCATATTCTTATTGCATGAGGAAAGTCTGCTGGAGTCCGAATTCCTGATTTCCTTATCTCCAAGCTCCAGGTGCCAGTACTAAACAGAAGCTCCCCACAGCCAGGTGCCTGGCTACAGTGAGTAAAATAGTGTAGCTGTTCCTTCCAGCGATCCGCAGGTAAAGTCACAAGTTCATGTACAATCAGATTCCTGAGATTTTCCAGCTCCTTTGAAGCATCAGTTAGCTTGGCAGACCTTGTAAATTTTTCAGTGCCTGACACAGCAGCAACATCTACCTCTTCAACCTTTAGCACAGATAAATCACAGCAATCCAATACCAGGAGAAAATCCTTGTTTACATGATTCTCTGTGTCAGAGCAGTCCTTTGAACTAGAAATCCCAGAAGCCTGTTCACTGTTGCTATGGTTACTGTTTTCATCAAAAGTAGTTTCCTCCTCTTTACCACTGACAGCAAAATCACTATATTCCCTTTTAGATAAACAGGTACTCACATCTTTCAGAGGAACATGGCAGGGTTCAGATACTCTCATTTTACAGGTTTCATCAAACTGTGACTGGCAGCATTCTTTGCCAGCAATGCTGGTTTGCCTGTACTGGCTCCCCGTCTCAAGGAACAAAACTATGCTGCCCTCAATAACTTTACTTTTAAAATCCACATCCAAGTCCAATACATAGTGCTTTACAAGCATGTAGCTAGTATTTGCCATTAAAGGCAAGTCATCCTTCATGGGGTCTAGCTGTGTCTCCATATTCATCTACTGGGAAACAGTTTCACAAATTCTGATATATGATGACTCCAGAAAGAGAATATTCAGCCTCCCAGTGCCAAAAAAAATTCTGAATAAGATTAGAATATAGAAATCGTAGTTTTTCCACTTCTTGCACTCTGTAAAGAAAAAAAAAAGAAAAGAAAAAAAAAAAAGAGAGAAAGGAAATAATCTCACAACCATTTCTGAAATGCACTGATTCTAAATCTATTTAAAGTCCATCTGCCTTTATTACAACAGTACAGCTAAAGTGTGATTGGATCTCCACACAATGGCATCAGGCTAGAATGGCATCTGATTGCTTCAGGATTTGCTGTCAAGGACCAGTGGTTGTATTTTTCAGATAGGAACTCAAATGAAAGTATTTCTAGACAGCTTTTATAAACCACTAGAAACAATCAAATGTATCCATCAAAAGATAGTGATATATTTCTACTGAGATTTTAAATAACAAGAGTAAGTCTAAATCACCTCATAGGTCTTAAATTTTTAGAGTAATAAATTCCCATATACAATGATTTTCCATAGATTAATATACTTTCCACATTACAACCACTCTCATATCAGCACTTACAAGAAAATGAGCCAATTTACAAGGACTGCGTTTCAACTATTCCTTTGAGATTGCTCATGAAGATTTTTTTAAATCTATAATTAAATACTTCAGGTATATAATTACATTTTTGTAGCTGGAAACTCACAACACTCAGAATGGCAGAGAACAAAAAGTCTTTTCACTGGAAAGTACAAAAATACTTGTACTTTTAGCACAAAACACTAAAGGCACAAAATACTGAAATGCACCAACATTTTTTGCAACAATAGGCAGACACTCATCATAAAATTAAACTGAAATGCATTCTCTGTTTTGCTACGACCATTGAGCCAAAGTCGTACAATTTTGCCCACTTTTAAGTCCTTTCTATTTGCTTCCTAGATGAGGAATAGAAGTCAGAGGATGAAATACAGACAGTTTTCTCCCCGGCATTTCAGTGACACTCACCATGATAGGCAGCCAGGCCTGCTGCTAAGTGCCTGAAGAGAACAGATACTCCATTGTGACATTATTTCAGAGCTTTACGTCTCATCATAGACTTCACCGTTCAGAGCCAATTTTTATATAGTTCCCAGAGTCATCACAGAGGGGAACTCAGACTCCCCAAAGACTTGCTATATCTTTTTTGCAGGAATCCAGAGCATGTTATTAAGCTACTATCATTAAGTGAAAGACTCAGGGTAAGAGCTGTCCATACAGTTCCCTAAACTAGTTTCACACAAAGCACAAAAACATAGCAAGTTATCTCCCTACCTCAGTGGCTTTCCACCTGTCAGAAACAGCTCTTTCAGGGCTGTCTATGAAGGCAAGCTGAGAAAAACCTTCCTTTTAATTTTTAACAATCTTTCAGTACTTCTGCAAACATACCAGGGCAACAAGGTCACATCAGAAGATTCTCTTTCACTCAGTAAATACCTCAGTAAATTCAGGCAACATGAGCAATACATCTATGATGCCTGTGTGTAATGCTGTACACTGAAGCCTGGATTTTTTTCTGACTACCAAAAGCTCATGACTGCTAGCAGGTCAAATAATTACTGGTGATAGAGAAAAGAAAAAGTGACTTGGTGGGGAAAAACCCAGCACTGAACTAACATTCAAACTCTGTTTTGCACAAACACATTTTTAATTTGAAAATATTTATAATATAATACCAACACCTTTTATAAAATGTGAGTACTGTCGTACAAACACAATTGTAGGGAGGAGAGGCCAGCCTTGGAATGAGGCAATTAGGGAAGACCACCTGCTATACTCCAGGTCCTGACTGGGTGTGTACAGCAGATGTAGGCAGCCTCTCCCCAAGATGGGCATGGAGAAAAGACAAGAAAAAAAAATTAAGCTGTCTTGCAAATACAATAATCCTCCATGCATTTCAAGGCACTACACTAAACTAATTTTCTAAAACTGCAAAAATTGATTGGTTTTTGTATTCTGTAGAGCTGTTTTGGGGTTTTTTTGTTACCAAATGGAAACACTAAATGAAAAGGGAATGAGGAAATAAAGAATAAGAACAGAAATATACAATTTTAGGTATAAGAATACCAAAATATCCTCCCAGGAAACAGTGTTCTCTACACTTTCAATAAAAGCCCAGAATATTTTTTTTTTCTTTAAGCCACTTTAAACAAAAATAATTATCTTCAACCACAGAATTCCACAATATTTACTAAATTAAACCAAAAGGACTTAAACATAGGATTAGTTAAGTCTTCTGGTACATAGATAAAATATTCATACAAAATATTTGTCAACATTAAAAATAGTACTACATTTAAAGTGTACTTTCATTATTTTCTCTACAGATACTAATTTATCCTAATTGAAAAGGTTTTCTCTAATTATATTCCAGAAGACTTAGTGTACCCTCTTGTGTGTTGGTGATATTACCCCTCTATGCAGTAAATCAGCTGAGCATATATGCAAAAAATTTCACTCTCTAAAATTACAAGTCATTATAGAATATGAACAACATACACGGCCTTTAAACTATTCTTCCAACTTCAGACTTATATCAGCCCAAAATCTGTAGAAGTATAATCAGTGCTTACATAACGTGTTTTCAAGATTTCTTTTTAAAGTAAATAATAAAGCTGCAAAACAGTTGTGCATTTTAAACTTGTTTTATTTAACCTGCTTTTTATATGACAAATTCGATGGTAAAAGGATAAACTTTTTGAAAACACATAGCATTTATAGTGGAGAAAAATAAAAAACCCAAACAATTAAAAAGCCTGTGTAAGATTATCCAGAATTCAGAGCAATTGAGTAGACGTATTTTAATGCATTTTTGTGACAGTCATCTAATTAGAAGCTCGAAATATAATCTAATGTTTCATTTGGGCTCAAAGTCATGTTACATAAAAATTAACTTGACATGAGATGAACAGATGCATTGCCATGAACAGCACTGCTAATTTTATGATATTCAAATACATGGATAAATGTTTGTGTCCCACACAAGATGGGTATCTTCTCTTCCTTCAGGCTCTGGTTGGCTTAGCAAATACTGGACCTCAACCACCTCATGAAATTATCGGTTTTATTCAAGAAGAAAAGACAGGAATAAACCGTTTATTTGGATGCTGAAATAAGACAGTGGACAATTAAATAGACAGCCTTTTTATTATCAAGGAAAAAGTAAAAGATCAGGGCACTGAATGACCATACACACAACCTCTGTAGCAATGAAACAAATGACACAGGAAACCTGAAATAAAAAGCAAACCTGAAGTAAAGCCAAGTAAAAAAAAAACAAAAAAACAAAAGGCAAGCAAAAAACAGTAAAGGAAGGATGCACTTCAGTAAAATAGGAGGATAGAAATTAAAACAGAATGTAATATCAGAGTTAAAAGGTAATGATCTTCTCTACAAATTTTTGAAAATTACTTCTCTCAAAACATGTAAATGAAGACGACAAAATTATTTATATGTATATATATACATATATAGTTATATTTGTTTAAAGTCTAGGTATCTGTACACTTGCTTTCAATCAGTAATGCTAGTTCAACAGTGTTGTAAAACAACATACTGATCCTTTGTTGGAAATATAGCATCAGACTGTCCCTCATGGGTCCAACGTGACTAAACCACCAAGATGATATACAGAGAAAGTATGTGTGCACTCACAAAAGAAAAAAGTTGTAATGACAGGTACTAGGAACTGTGTGGAGTGGAGTAACTGTGGAGTTACTTCAATGGGCTATTATTACACAAACTCATGAGTTTGTGTAATTTATAATAATAATACACGTTATTTTTACACAAACTCAGGGAATGAATTTGTGTGCGGTTTGAAAAACAGATGAGCTGAGATAGAAATGTGCACCGTCTTAGGGCTTGATGCCTGATACTTGAGGAGGAAAAAGGTAGCTGTGCAACTAACCAATATGTAAACCCCATGCTCTTCTTCGTGTAGACTATGACATCTTTCCATGAATATATGATAATTTTGGGAGTTTAACTGAACAGGCTGTAAATAACAATTTTATTTACCATTTGAGTTGAACTGCATTTGAATAAATATAATTTTATGGTATCTCTTCTTCAATCAAGTTATCCCAAAAATGTAAAAAAAACATAGTATCATTATCCCTCCAACATGACTACTACTGCAGGTACTAAAATATGGCCTATCAAAATCCTAAGCAGAATTAATAGAAGCTGCAATGCTACGCACATTTGCAAGTCAAGCCTAGGTAAACAAAGAAACTATTCTTTCCCACAAAGGAAAAACTCTTTTCAGATGTTTAGTGACAAATTAAGGAGAGATTGAGATGGACTATAAAAAACTCAACTCTCACACTGTGTACAATCACATAACTAATTCAGTCTAACATTTATCATTCACTCTGTATTTCTTTTCATTGGTCCTTAACAGGTAAAGAGAACAAATTCTAATCATGGTGTTGATATAATACAGGAAACATGCTACCTCACCTTCTGAAGGAAAACCCTTCCTGTACACCCTGAAAGTTCTCTGCACATATTCAAGTTTGGTGTATGGAAACAGTACGTCTCTTAGTACTTCTATTGCTTTACTACTGCTTCATACACAGGCTGTTCTGAGAAATATTCTTTGGATTTGGTTTGGTAAGCTCGTCACTATTTTACACTATTTTACACTATTTTACACTATTTTACACTGTCCTAGTCATATATGTGTATGTAGGACATACACATATATCAAGGTACTCTCATCACAGAAAAGATACATTATTTTTGACATCTTTTTTTTAAATACATCTCTTATTCAACATCATCTTCTGTAATATTTTTTCCTATATTGCACTAATAATATGAGGATCTGCTTTTCATTTCTGTGCAGTTAATACATTTCACCTTTAGAAAAGGAGGTTCACTAGCTGAACTCCAGGCATGAAAAAAAAAAATTAGAAATTGTAATGCTGCTACAAAGTTCTGGTGATAATTTCATAAACAGTATTCCATGTCATAGTTCCTCTACACACCGATATGTAAAAAATTACTAGTACATTTTAAAGATAGACTTTAAATTTAATGCATCTTTATTTTTAAATGTGCTTTTAAAGTACATTTTGTAAGCAATAAAAGTAATAGAATTACAGGGAAAGCCGATCATTTGGTTATATGTTTTAATATTTTAGAAGACAGATGCTAGCAAAAGAAGAAACAGTAACAGCAGATGGTGGCCAACATGAATAGAGCCAATCTTGATCAACAGCACATAACAGAGTTGCATAGAAGACACGAAGAATGGGAAACAGGATAGATATCATCCTTTGGGGAATTATAGTTGTATAACATTGTTTTCTACTCAATACAAAAAGTATCAGCCTGAATTGGAAACACAGGTCTCTGAAAGCAAATATGAGAAAAAAAGTTTCCAGGCAACATAAAACACAGTTGCAAAATAGGTTGCAAAAATTAAGCTTCCTAAAAATAGCTACAAGAAAAAAAAAAAAAAAAGAGGTCATTTTTGATAGGCAATACACTGTAACTCATAATCTCAGGTTTTATAGTTAAAAGGAAAAAGGAAATTAAGAAATAGGGAAGAACTTGGAAATACTCTGTACAGTGAAAGCTGAGGGAAAAAAAAAAACAAATGAGGACAGCTTAACTACCCAGAATACCCATTTCAAATGGTGAACCAGGAAGGGGAGGAGAACTGTTATACAGAGGAGTCTAGTTAAACTTGTAAAAGCAAATTAAAAACTAGAGTGATCAATTATGATACCTGATATTGATATTTCATTATTCCAAGAAGTTATTTTGAATGCTAATAGCTATCTTCTCCAGTCTAACTCCACTTGAACAGTAATAATCTAGATGAGAAAATTAGAAAGCCCTCTGAACTTGCTGAAACGTTCATTAGAGGCACTACTATGTGTAAGCATGTGAAAGGCTTACAGACTTTAAAAAAACCCAAAAAAACCCCACCTTGAAAAACAGAAGATGCATGGTCATTAGAGATGATGTCATAATATAGTGCCAGGAGCTAGAAACACACTATCAAGAATGCACTGATTTATCTACTCACTTTCCAAGCACACACATGTAATTTCACTGCACTCCTGCTACACCAGGCAGTGAAGGACTGTCTTACATGTGAGGCTGCCATGGCCTACATGACTGGGAAAGGCAGGCACAAAACACAGTTGCCTAAGATAGTCCTGCATTTTGTCATGAAAGTGTACGCCAAACATGAAGCCTACATAAAATACACCTTGTTTCAGATGTATTGAAAACATTGCTGTTGCTTTTTGTGTATTTCCAAAATCATAGAAAATAAAAATGAAAGATAAGTCCATAGATAGGAGATAAAGTCTCCAACCAATCCAAGCAGCTACAGCTCTGTACATGATATCTGCCAAGCCCTGGAAAATTCCCAACATGGAATTATTGCAAATATTTGAATACATAAACCGGTTAATGCCTTACAAACCAAAGCACTATTTTTTATTGTGCACAATAATAGAGTTGCACAAACTCACACACAAATGCTGACACAAGTATCAGGCATCAAGCCCTAAGATGGTGGCCATTTCTATCTCAGCTCCTCTGTTTTTCAAACCGCACACAAATTCATTCCCTGAGTTTGTGCAATAATAATAATGTATATTATTATTATTATAAATTACACAAACTCATTATTATGAGTGTGTGTAATAATAGCCCATTGAAGTAACTCCACAGAAATTCATGCACATTGAGTCTTCTAGCAAACTAAGAAAAGTCAGATGACCTTACCAACTTAGATAAGCTTGTTTGAAGATACTTCTCTGAGCAGATGATTCTGTCACAATCATCTGCTTTGATTAACAGTAAGCAGAGACAGCTATTTCCACACACAGTCACTTGAACACACAGCCTGGCACGTGTACTTGAGCTGGTAACATCAGCTAATATCCTATCCTATCTGCAAACATAGATCTCTGAAGCACAGAGACCAACTTGTTTGTTATGTACTCACTGTATTCTTCAAAAGGTGTAGAAGAATTTTAGTGACACAGACTTTCCCTACGTGCCACTGGCCAATATCCAGACACTTTTAAACACCACCTTTTTATATCAGGAAAACAAAGCCATGTTTGGACTCTCCTCATTTTCAGGCAAGCATGATTTTCTTCATTTGTACAAAAAAGCTAATTCAATTGCTTTCAAGAAGCAGGTGTTGGAATTGAGGCTACAATGCTATCTACTTAGCATTTAAATAAACTTAAAAATTAAAAAAAGCACCTTTTGGATAAATATTCTCTTTAATAATTAGAAGAGTTTTATAACTAAGGCCCTTTAAGCTGCTTTCAAGGCAGCTTCTTATGAATCCAGGTTTATACATTTTCCACACAATATAAGACACTAAGAGCTTATTAAGAACTCAGCTTTGACCATTAGTATCAACAGTAATTTTACTCTTTAAATACAAACATGTATACATTATTTTTGGCAATTACAAACTTTTTTCCAACACACACATAAGACAAATACCTAAGAGATCTTAAGCTTTTTAAGGCAAGAATGGATTCTATAGATGAAAATAAGGGTAAAACAACTAACAAAAACATTTGCTCATGTTAAACTATCTTAAAGCAATCCAAATTAGAGAACTTACAGACCTCACACTGCATCACAAGAAAAATAGCACATTTTGTAATAAGGCTTTGATGTGAAAATTAATTCAATCACTGATATCCCATGACAAAACAACTGGTAACCATTCCAGAAGTCTCCTTTTAAGTCTGAAAACTATAGGAATAATGAGCATAATGGAAGACATTCTTTATCAACTACACTAGCAAGTTAGCAGTGAGGGAAATTTATTTCTATGATATGAAATGATAAGCCAAGAGAGAAAACTCCATTTTTTAGCTTAAATAAGTAGAGAAATACCAAAAAAAATGATGTCCCCTTCTGCGCCCAAAATACTAATTCCCAAAAAAACCCATCCAAGACGAAAAAAGAAACATAACTTAAAACTGGTAAAGGAAGAATATCCTGATATTGCTCTTAACCTATTTTTACTCCATTGACAATTATTTGTATTACAGTAATGACCAAATACCTAAAATAATTAAAGAGAGACCAAATATGTATTTCACAATTTTCTGCCCCCAAATTTATCATTACTTTATTTGTGACAAAAACAAAAAACCCCACAAACACAAAAAAACACACAAACACAAAAAAACCCACAAAAAAAACACAAAAAAAAGGAAACCAAACAAAAAAAAATCCCCAAAAAACCGTTACCCAAACCCAAAGTGAAAAAACAAAACAATAACCTCACAAAAACAAACCAAACCCTATGACCAACATTTGTGTAAGAACAGAATTTTCCAGTTTTTATTTTACAAAATGATTTCAAGGTGGACATGGGCCTGGGTAATTTGCTATACCCAACCCCACTTGAACAGGTACTAGATGATCTTCAGTGGTCCCTCCAAAGTAAGTGATTCTATGGAGATGCTGAACAGCATTAAAGAGGCACAGAACTACCTTGGATTTTATTTCCATTCAAAATACACAAGGAAAGATTGTGTGTGACTGGCTTTCAGGACATGGAGCAGCATGTCTGGTGATATTCATACATAGGAAGCACACAAATAAAATCTGTGCTGAAACAGAATGTCTGTTTTCAACTTAATGCAGCTGTTGTTAATGAATACCACCTACAGTGTCAAGGAGCTAAATCTTTAAGGCTGGAATCAGAAAATGTTGACACTGGCAAGCTGCCTCAGCCATTTAACTAGACCTCTGGAATCTAAGCAGTATCCTGAGTAAAGGAGCTAACATACAACTAAGCTGAAATCCTCAGATGAATTACACACCACCACTTACAAAGACAGGCGCTTCACCTACATGTTTCCAGAGTTAAAGAGGCCAATGAGTGCAACATTTCATTAATCAGCTTTGAGAGGGTCGTACAGATCCACGTTTAAAGTTCTTCCAGGACACCAGAAGCCCACAAGGCCACTGACCCAAGCTGCGTGAAAAAAGGACAGCAGCGATTGCCGGCCGCACACTCTCAACTGCTTGGCATTCTGCTCCCTAAGCTCTGGCTGCAGCCATTTCGTTTATAAGGAAAAGCAGGGACGGAAAGTTTTGTCACTTCCAGCAACGCCTCCCTCGCACGAGGCTGCGGGACAGGGAAGCCAGCCCGTCCAGCCGAGCGCGGCGGGGCCCGGCCGGAAGCACGGGGACGGGGGGGCGACGGACAACGAAGGAACACTTACAGCGGCGGCCACTGCCCCGCCTGCGTGCCGGCTCCCGGGGCGTGTGCGGGGACACACAGGGACGCGCCGGCCTCCGCCCGGCCCCGCAGCTGCTGCTG